CAATTCCACCTTAAATGCAGAAGCCATTTGGGAATATCATTATAGGCTAAAGCATCCTTCTTTCAAAATCCTACAATGCAAGTTTCCTTCTCTTCTTTTGAATATAAACCAGAATTTTTTTTTATTGTGAGACTTACAAAATTGTCAAATATCATCGTCCTATTTTTTCATGAAAAATTATTTTAAATTTTCCACTCATAATAGTTCACTCTAACATTTAGGGACCTTTCAGAATACCCAACATTTCTGAAGCAAGAGAATTTAACACATTCATTGATGATTGCATTCAAATTACATGAGTCTATATTATCAAACAAAATTTTGATGTCATCATTAATCCCCAATTTTTTAACTTCCATGATATAAAAATGATTCATCATAATGGTTCAAACTGATAACGATGCTTGAGATTATTTTAATCACATTATTATCTTTCTTCTAAAATTAACGTATCATCTAGAATTCCTCATGTCATAACACTCCCATAAAATGGAGTAGCAAAAAGAAAAAATCAAGCGTAAAAAAATATTACAGAGTAATAACAACTGTCACATATTCAATGAATAAATGATTGGCTTAAAAAATCATATGAGTTATCTGGCTGAAATCTTTCCCATAAATAACTTCCTCTAAAAAATTCTTACAAAAATCTTTAATTGCACAGCCTATCTTCACATCTTCAAACAACATAGGAATAAACTTGAACTAAAAGCTCTCAAATGTGTCTTAATTGGGTATTCCTTCACCCGAAAGGGTATAACAACTATCATCCTATCACCAAAAAACTCAATTTTAGAATGGTCCCCTTTGAGGAGAAATATTTTTTTTTCCAATTGAAATAATCTTCAGGGAGAAAACTCTCAACTAAAGATAAGTTTGATGAAACAATCCTACAAACAACCTCCAAACAATCCAGATAGTGTGCCCTTTTGACTTTATAAAGAAATGAATAAGCCCAATTAAAATCCCCATCAAGCTCAAGATCTGCAATCATTACGAATGAGGCAATTATCTACCTATCATGGCACATTCTCTTCTATGTCTCATCCCTAATACACATCTCTTCAAAATTATTCTCCTGCCCATAAAGCCCCGGCAAAATTGAAATAACAGAATTTTTGATAAATTATTTATATAAAAATGGAGGGGAGATTTTTTAATTTTGAAAACAAACCAAATGGATTTTGTCCACCACATGGCAACATTATCCTCACGTGCTAGAAATTGCTTTCCACATGACTTTTTTTTGTTGGGCTAGCCTAAGGGTCTAATTAAGCCCAAATTCTCACCCAACTCTCCCTCATTCTTCCAATCGTTCACATTTTTGCTCAAAAAAAAATTGTAATTTCAAGTGACGAAACTCCAATTTTTCCAGAACCGTTGGCAATGAGCATATTCTCCCAGTGACAAGAGTACTATTTCGCCCAAGATACAAGTGGCAGTCTTCTTTCCCTATGACAAAATTTGGGGGTTTTTTTTTGGTTTAAAATTTGAATCTAAATAATTCTTAAAAATATGAAACGTACTTTTCATATTTAAAAAACATTTGTTTTCTCAAATTCATCATCTGCGAAAAACTAGATTATTTCGTAGCTTTAAACATGTTTTTTCTATTTAAAAATTAGCTTTTGTTTTTCCAAATTTATCATGGCAACATATAACTGGATTATTTTTGTTGCTTGAAACATGCTATCATGTTTAGAAAATAACTTTTATTTTGCTAAACTCGTCATCTATAGAGACATAGATTGTTTTCATTTATTCAAAAAAAGGGTGGTGAAGGGCTAATTTTTAGAAGTCTAATTATAAGTCCGACTTTAAAACAGTTATATAATATTTTAGTGTTTAGATAACTAATTTTGAAAACATACTATTAAATATTATAGAAACAAAGATGTGTATTTTAGCAAAGATATTCTTCTAATTATACTAAGATTGTAAGCTAATTATAGGCTATATATAATTGAAATCAACGGTTTCATGCTAAATTCATAAATCATCCAAATATTAGTGAGGTATCACTGACCTGTGTGCCTTCTCTGCAAAATTCAACAGAACTTATAATAAGATGACTGACGGTACAGCTCATTTAACTCTTATATTCATTAGTACATAAGGCATTTCAGATGAGCTCGTGTTTAAGTATATCAGGGCTATAGCAATCCAATTGATGTCTAGCAAAAAATGACACTTAGACAGTTGAAGGATATAATTCTTATGTGGCTGGAATTTGAAGCAGATTATTTTCTACCAAGTGGCAATAATGTTGATACGTGTAGGGCAATTATTTCCATGTCATGGATGACATCGCAATGTGGCAGTCAATTTGTTCTGTTTTCAAAAATTAAAATTTTCCTCTCATTTTTTATAAATTAATTTTTGTAAGTCAATTTTTTAAATTTTTACCTAAAACATTCTTTACAAATATCAACTCTAATTCCATTACAATACCACAAATTCTATTTGAAACACTAGAAAACAAGAACTGGACAGATGCCAGCGAAAAATGAACACTAAAAAAATCACACTTAGAATATCATTGAACAACCAAAAGAGAAGAAAATAAGAAGATGCACCAACAACAACAACATCAAGCCTTTATCCCACTACGTGGGGTCGGCTACATGAATCTTTTTTCTCCATTGTGTCCTATTAAAAGTCAAATTCTCGTTTAAATCTAATAAAGAAAGGTCATTCCTAATATTTTCTAACCAAGTCTTTTTAGGTATGCCTCTACCTTTCTTAACATAAGTCAAATCTAATACCTCTACTCTCCTAACCGGGTCATTAGAAGGCCGCCGCTTTATGTGATCAAACCATCTAAGGCGACTCTCTCTAATCTTATCCTATACTGGAGCTACTCCAACCTTTTCACATATATGCTTATTTCGTATGCTATCCACCTGAGCATCCTCATCTCTGCCACACTTAACTTAGTATTATGCTTCTCTTTTAATGGCCAACATTCAACACCATAAAGCTTTGCAAGCCTCACTACCATCTTATAGAATTTTCCCTTAAGTTTGAGGGGTAGTTTTCTATCACACAACAAGCCCGATGCATTCCTCCACTTCAACCATCCAACTTGAATTCTGCTGATAATATCCCCATCTATTTCACCATTAGTCTGAACAATAGATCCAAGATATCTAAAACATGTACTCTTATTAATGACTTGATCGCTCAAAGTCACAATCCCCTCACTAGGTCCATTACTACTAAAATTACACTCCATACATTCCGTTTTAGATCTACTCAAGAGAAAACCTTTAATCTCTAATGTTGACCTCCATAATTCAAGTTTACTTTCAACTCCCTCTCTAGTCTTATCAATAAGAAGAATATCATCAGCAAAAAGCATACACCAAGGTACATCCTCTTGCAAATGTCTAGTGAGAACATCCATGACTAAAGCAAAAAGATATGGGCTTAAGGCAGATCCTTGATGTAACCCAACCGAAATAAGGAAATGCTTGGTCAAACCACCTTGTGTTTGAACACAAGTAATATCTCCTGCACACATATTTTTAATGATTTGAATATAAGCATTATTAACTCCATTCTTTTCAAGAACTCTCCATAGCACTTCTCTTGTTACTTTATCATATGCTTTTCCTAAATCACTAAATATCATATGTAGATCCTTCTTATTTTCTGTATATTTCTCCATCAAACCTTTTAATAAATGTATGGCTTCCATAATCGACCTACCCGTCCTGAATCCAAACTGATTTTGAGAAATATTAGTATCATGCCGCAACCTATGCTCCATAACTCGCTCCCATAGTTTTAAAGGATGATCTACATAAGAAAATAAGAAGATGCAAATGGATTTTTTTATTAAATAAACAATAAATAGAAGCCACGAATAGTATAAAGTGAGATTGATAATCAAATGATATACTAAATCAAATAGAATTGACTAATAAAAAACTTAGCTCATATAAGCTAAAATGACAATACGAATCTTAATTTTTCTTGCAACCAGCTGAGAAAAGTCCATGAAGCAACATGAAAAATATCTTCCCACATAGGAAAGTAAAGTCTATATGGACCCATCACCTATCTAAAAATAGGTATACTTGATCACCCGAGGATAGAAGATTCATGATTGGATACTATACATTTTTTAGAAAGAAATCTCCTAATACTAAAATAACTTATTTTTTCAAGATTTAATGCTAAATATAAATTTAAATCCATTGTCTAGGGGGAATCTGTGAGCTTCTATACATTTAAATCATTTTAGAAATTTTATAAAACAAATGGAAAGGGTAACGGAATATACAACATGGTAATAAATATTCCATCAGCATTGCACGTAATCTAGTATAACATGATCATACCAGCATGTGGAGATAGATATGTATTTCATGAAAGAGAAACTAAGAAGTTCATTTATTTGCACTCCATGGGTGTCAACAAAAAATCAAAAAATTCTCACCAAATGACTCTACAACCTCATGTTCAAAAATATTCTAAGTAAATGTAGAATGATAGATTTATATCATTCAATTTGAAAAGGATTGTTCAATGACCGTGGAACCCAAAAATCAAGCAATCAAGGGATTCATGAGGATTGATCCTCTCTTATATCCCTTAGATTGTAATTCGTTGCCTCTTCCTCTTCTAGTTGCCGGACCACTCTTGCGGATTTTTTCCTGTTTTTTTTAATAACTTTGATTTATTTTCACTATAAATCTTTGGAGAATTATATAAATACTTACATGCTTTTCTACAATGCACATCCTTTATAAGATCAGCTTCAAACTATAGTCTATATAAAAATAATATATCACTTTAGTTAGTTTGCAGCTCATTCACATTATTATCACTTTATTACATGCATGCGGACCATTCCCTTTTTCTACTTTATTTATCATTTAAATCTTATTACAAGTAGTTTCATAGTAATTCAAAAAACGTACACTTCAGGTTGGAAGTCTAAGGTTAATGAAAAGGTTACTCAGTCAAAAACTTTATTTTAATAGTAGTCTCACCCGAATATAGGATTTTCCATAAGGATTTCTGAACTCAGTGTCATCAAGCTTGCGAATCTGTGAAAACAAAACGTAAAATATTACATCCAAACAGAAAAGTTCTTTAAAAAAGAAATCAAAGAGCAGGCTTACAGCATATTTCATATCCTCATAGTTAGTATAATCAACTAGGCCCATAGCTCCTGAAAATACATACAATGTGTAAAAACATTTAGAATCATAAAAAAGATGATTAAGAATGAAATTATCAAAAGAAGTGAATATGCATTAAAAAGCACCACAAGACAACAAAAAGTGTCCTCAGTTAAGAGCAATAGATGAAAAAAACCATTTTAATGTTGTCAATGATGCCAGTCTGCAGTGTATCTAAGACTTAGATGGAGATTCTTCATTCTGCCATAAGCTTCATGATAATAGTGTATTTTTATTGCTTACATGCAATAGACAGTCGAAAAAATAGGTATATATTTTGGCAGATAATGCCAGGCAGGTTTGATGTGGTACACACCGGAAGAAGCAGGCTCACAAGAATAATCAAAGAAGGCAAGAAAGCTAAGAAGGCGTCGGCCTTAGTTTGTATCTCATTAACTGCGTAGTTCATCTTCTCCAAGGAGAAGAAATACAAAACCAGGTCACTAAAAATGGCTCCTGCACAAAACAGATAGTGCCCGTCCTACTTACTAAAAACAGCAATGGAAAAGAAGGTGGCTGCGCCTCATCCAAAGGCTGCACTAACAGAAAACTAAAAGTTTTAAATAAAACTGAAAGCATTTAAATATAACGGTAACTAAGCGGACGGCTGAGATGGTCCGCACTATGGACGGCAGTGATGCTCCGCATCATTCTCCCCCTCCCTCAGAAGAATCCGAATCTGTTGATGAGAGATTCGTAGGAGCTTGATCAGGTGGATAATACTTAATCAAGTCGCCAATGTTAAATGTCGTGGAAGTGTTATACTGTTTTGGCAAATCAATCACATAGGCATTGGGGTTGATTTGTTTGATCACTGCAAATGGTCTGATTCTTCTCGGACTTAACTTCGACTGGTACGCCTGTGGAAATCGTTCCCGCCTCATCTTGATCATGACTAAATCCCCTGGTTTGAAAACTCTTGCGTGGCGACGACGATTAGCATCTTCCTCGTACTTCTTATTGGATTCGGTAAGCTTCTCGCGAACCTCCTGGAGCATCTGTGAGAACTGAGTGGCGAAATCCACAGCGGATTTGCTGGAACACTTGGGTAACACGGCCAGATCCACCGTGTGATTCGGTAGCTTCGTGTATACAATGCTGAAGGGACTCTTCCCGGTGGAGCGATTAGTCATGCTGTTATAGGCAAATTCGGCCTGTCCCAAGAGTTCATCCCAAAGTCGCGGGTGCTCCTGCACCACGCAACGGAGCATATTGCCTAGTGTCCGATTAATCACCTCCGTCTGTCCGTCCGTTTGCGGATGATATGCCGAGCTAAGTTTGATATCTGTCTGCAAACGTTTCCAAAGTTCCTTCCAAAAATGGCTGACGAACTTGACATCTCGGTCGGAAGTGAGACTCCGAGCAAGGCCGTGTAGGCGAACTACTTCAGCGAAGAAGATGCGGGCCACATTTAAAGCGTCGAAAGTTTTCTTACACGGCACAAAATGAGCCATTTTGGAGAAGCGATCAACGACCACCATAATGGAGTCGTTACCGCGCTTGGTACGGGGCAGACCCATCACAAAATCTAGGCTAAGGTCCTCCCAAATTGATTCCGGCGTTGGTAGTGGCAGGTATACGCCCGCAAGCTGACCGCCAGATTTATAACTTTGACATACCGGACACCTTTCTACGAATCGCATCACGTCACGATGCAAGTGCGGCAAAAAAAATCGTGATTGCAGTTGCATGTAGGTATTTCGTCTTCCTACATGAGCCGCCAGTCCACCGCAATGGACTTCCTTGATCAATTGAGGACGCCACGACGAGTCTGGAATGCAGAGTTGATTTAGTTTAAACAAAAATCCATGTCGAATAGAGAAATCCTTGTCTCCTTCTCCGCCTAGACAGTTTGCCCAGATTTTAGCAAAGTCCGGATCTGTATCGTATAAGTCTTTCAGGCACTCTAATCCAGTGATTTCCGTCTGCAATTGAACCAACAGCGCATTACGCCAACTGAGGGCATCGGCAACTACATTTTGAGCTCCTGATTTATGCTTCAGCACAAAAGAGAAACGCTGTAGGAACATCACCCACCTTGCGTGCATGCGATTAACATGCTTCTGATTGTTAATGAATTGTAAGGCTCGGTGATCACTGCATAGCACGAATTCTCGGTGAAGCAAATACGGCTCCCACTGCTTCAATGCTCGGACCACAGCATAGAGTTCCTGCTCGTAGACGCTCCATTTCTGCCGAGACGGACAGAGCTTTTCGCTAAAAAACTCAACCGGGCGCTTGTCTTGACTAAGTACTGCCCCAATTCCAATGCCGGAGGCGTCTGTATCCACATGAAAACATTTGTCGAAGTCAGGCAACGCCAAAACAAGGGCGGAGGAAAGAGCGAGCTTAATTTCTTCAAAACTTTGAGATTGTTCTGCTTCCCAGCTAAAGTGTTTTGACTTTAAACAGTTGGTAATTGGAGCCATCAACGAGCTGAAGTTCTTGATGAATCGCCGGTAGAAGTTGGCCAGTCCATGAAAGCTGCGCACTTCAGTGAAGGATTGAGGCACCGGCCAATTGGTAATGGCTTCAACCTTGCGTTTGTCTACTTCTATACCTGCGCCCGAAACAACAAATCCAAGAAAATAAACAGCTGAGGCAGCGATTTCACACTTACTTGGGTTCAGATACAATTGATTTTGTCGCAACACCAGGAAGATGTTCTCTAGATCGGACAAATGAGCTGCCATTGTAGCGCTATACACCAGAATGTCGTCAAAATACGCGACGCAGCAAATGTTGAGAAACGGCTTGAGGACATCAGTCATTAGCCGCATGAACGTCGAAGGCGCGTTGCACAGTCCAAATGGCATCACCCTCCATTCATATAATCCTTGGCGCGTCTTGAAGGCGATTTTCCATTCGTCCCCGGGCCGAATGAGGATTTGGTGGTATCCGCTGCGGAGGTCCAGCTTGGAGAACACTGTAGCTCCGGACAGTCTTTCCAGCAGCTCTTCGATCCGCGGAACAGGAAATCGAAACTTCACTGTGATTTTATTGATGGCCCGGCTGTCCATGCACATACGCCAGGAACCATCCTTCTTCGGGACGAGAAGGGCGGGAACAGCACACGGGCTCAAACTTGGCTGGATTAAATTGTTCCTTAGCAGTTCATCCACCAACTGTTGCAGAATTTGATGCTCCTTTGGGCTTAATCGATGGTGAGGCAAGTTCGGTAGAGTAGAACCGGGTACAAAATCAATCTGATGTTGTAAGTTGCGTAGAGGAGGCAGAGCAGACGTTCCTTCAGTGAGGAGGTCTTGAAATTTATCCAACAAGTGCTCTACACCTGATTGAACACTTAATTCGTGGTCTATTGTGGATTCTCGGAGAACTAAAGCAAATATTGGCGTGTCATCGGTCCAAGAGGATAACAGACCACTGCCCGTGACTACGTGCAAGGCAGGAGTAGCCACATCCGACTTGTCTCCTGACCCTGAAGACTGGGGCAAGAACCGGAGCCGTTTGCCCTTCCATTCCACGGCGTAAGTATTGGCTCTTCCGTCGTATACAGCCCCCACGTCGAATTGCCAAGGTCGCCCAAGTATAAGATGGCACACATCCATCTCTACAACATCACATAGTACCTCGCAAGTGTAATGCTTCCCGATGGAAAACTGCACCCGGCACGTTTCTGTCACCATAATTTCCATCCCTTTCTTCACCCAACTGATTTTATACGGTTGGGGATGTTTTGTTGTCTTTAATTTCAATGCTTGGACCACTGCACGAGAGATCACATTCTCCGTGCAACCGCTATCGATCAACAGATCGCAAACCTTGCCCATTAGGGTGCACTTGGTCTTGAAAATAGAATGTCTTTGTGACTGGCCTGACTTACGTGGTGCTAACAGTAATTTTTCCAGAATGCAGACCACTGGCTCACCTTCATCACCCACGACATCTTCAATATCTGTGTTTTGCTCATCGTCAACAAGAACTCCATCCTCGTCGGCTTCTCCATCCAATATCTGTAATTGCTGCCGGTTAGGACATTCATTCGACTTATGTCCTGGTTGAAAACATCTGAAGCATTTGAGTCCTTGTGGTCGCGGGTATGGATTCTCCCGAAAAGGATTTTTCGGCTTCACCGGAGCCCGTGGATCAGCACTTGGTTTTGCGGGGCTCGACGGTCCTCCCGTCTCAATGGCTGCAGGAGTTTTCCTGTTTGCAGTTCCAGGTAATTTGGAACTATCTTGGCCGCCTTCCACAAATGATCTTCTGTGAATATTGCTTCGCTGTTGTCTTCCCAACTGTAATTCTGCCTTAAGCGCAAAGTTAACAGCCTCCGATAATGACCACACAGAGCTCATTTCTAACTTGTCTTGAATTCCTTCCTTCAGTCCACCAATGTAACGCGCGACCAGTTGGTTCGTCGTTTCATTGAGGTCATTTCGAGCCGACAACCGGTAGAACTCTTCCGTATACTCGCTAACGGAACGCCCACCTTGAATGCAATGTTGGTATTTCAAATACAACATTTGCTCGAAATCAGTGGGGAGAAAATGCCCCCGAAGAAGTTGCTTCATTCGCGTCCAGCTCCTGACTGGACTGCGACCTTCCCGTCGACGAGACTGTAGCAATTGAGACCACCACGCGCCAGCACCTCCTCTGAGTCGGCAGGCCACATACTTGACCTGCTTCTCCGGTTCGATCTCCATGTAATCAAAGAAGTTCTCCACCGCATGTTCCCAATCTAAGTAATCTTCTATGTGTAGGCGACCATCAAAGAACGGTATATCCAGTTTAACTCGGAACTCACCTGAATGTCTGTCACGGCCCATGAAGCGACGGGGACGGCGTTCCATCGGATCCACATCTGAATCCGAGAAACCTTCTGGATTGAAAGTGATGCGTTCCTCGTCTGAATCCGAGAGTTCCGGAAGTAAAACCTGACGATGTCTTCGACGCATTGGAAGAACTCTATTTCCGTCCGTCGGCGTAACTGCCGGTTGTATTGGTCTCACCATTCTTGGCTGCACCTCACCAGTTCGCCCCAACGGTGGTTCACGCCGTAAAGCCGCAGCAAGGCGATCTACGGCCGCAGTAATGTCGTCCAATCTCTTCTCTACTCCAGCGTGCGCAGCCCAAAGTGCCTCCACGCTTCGGTCTTCCTCGCTCGTCGCACGCTTGCTGGACTCTGCCATCTTTCCAAGCCGCAGGCTCTGATACCAGGATGATGTGGTACACACCGGAAGAAGCAGGCTCACAAGAATAATCAAAGAAGGCAAGAAAGCTAAGAAGGCGTCGGCCTTAGTTTGTATCTCATTAACTGCGTAGTTCATCTTCTCCAAGGAGAAGAAATACAAAACCAGGTCACTAAAAATGGCTCCTGCACAAAACAGATAGTGCCCGTCCTACTTACTAAAAACAGCAATGGAAAAGAAGGTGGCTGCGCCTCATCCAAAGGCTGCACTAACAGAAAACTAAAAGTTTTAAATAAAACTGAAAGCATTTAAATATAACGGTAACTAAGCGGACGGCTGAGATGGTCCGCACTATGGACAGCAGTGATGCTCCGCATCAAGGTTACCCTACTTATATTTTTTTTTATGACTTTGCTGCGGTATCTTCAGGAAATTTTGCCACATATGGTACAAAAATGCATAATAAATAAAGTTCAATTTCAGGTTGACAGAACCAAGGCAAAGAACATGTCCGTCTTCATCTAAAGTAAAAGCAAAAAATTATTCAGCCATTATTACTTTAGTTTCTTACCTATTTGAACTGCCAAAACTTACAGAATGCAATAACAGAGAAAATATGGGGGAAAATGTCGCTACTTTTTAAGGGAAAATCCCGCAAAAGCTCCCCAATATTTAGGATCTTAGCTCAATCAAACTTTTGATACCTGCACTATGAGCTTGCACTTGGTCCTAGAGTTTTTCCTATCAACTTCAACTATGCCAAAGTTTATTGTGTTATTCCTTTATTTTTCTCCTCTGAACTATGCTCTTAGGTTGTATCATCATAAATATGCATTGGGTGTGTCACCTAACAGCATAAGGCAGAAATTTCATATATATCAACCTAAATATCAATTGCATCACGACCACTACTACTAAAGAGTCTTCACAACTACTTTGTCGAACCCAAAATAGCTTATTATAGTTAACCTAATGTTCACTTGACTGTTACTACTTCTGTGAGGTTCCTACAAGTTTATATATTCATTTATCATACCAGTATAAGGATTTAAAACGTTTATGTACATGCTGAAATTGGTCAAAAGAAGCTTAGGATAGTTAGTAGTCAATGAATTAGACTCATCTTATAAGAGAGAGCAAAGCTCATGATCTATATCCCTAGCTATACTAAATGTTAGCCTGATCATCTTCGCGAGTGCCATGAAATGAATACATAGCGAATGCATTTCTTTGATCTCAAAGTATGTGCAGCCAATACTTGTCTTACATCTTCCATCGACACGCTTGAAGTTTAGCTCCATGGAGGCATGGACTCAATTTTAATCCGCGATTATCCTCCAAATTGATGAATCACACTATTTGGGAGGTGCCAGTCAGCCCTTTTCCAAGAAATAGGACCCTTAAACACAAAATATCAAAACCAGATACACTAAATTATAGAGGATAGTAATAAGCCTTTAATTATGGCTCCTAAATAACCTTAAGATGTAAAAATTTGATAACTTATTTTCTAAATGTTACAAGAAAAATTATAAGCTTTTGAATACACAAAAAGAGATATTTCATAAATATATAACATTTGTGGCATTTCAATAGAATCTAACATCATACATTCTCACTTTTCAAACTCTCTCTTCAATCCACATGTATTAATGTTTTAACTACTTTGCTGTCAACTAACTTATAACTCAATGATTCACACAATAAAATGAATTATATATCAGGTGGCGTTCCATTGCAAGTCCCTCGAATATGATATAAATAAGGTTGGTCTCCCAACATGTAATCATTCCAAAGATCAAACATACAGTAAGTGCAGGCACCAATCCATATTAACTCATATAAGCAAGGTTGCTTCATTCAGCTCCTTGTATAGATAGGCCAGAACTAAACCACCAAAAGAGTAAGTAGAGAATAACCCCAAATCTTCAAACATTGGTTGGCATTGCAGGTAAATTTTAAAATAAGGCGTGTCTAGCTAACCATACATTTGATAACTTCATATAAGAATTCCAAGTGAAGTTCTATCCTAGCCATCTTAATTAAAAACAAATTTTAACAAGTGCTTTGCCCCATGTCAAATATGGCATTGATGTTAGGAACTAGGATCTACCGGATCATTGTATAATCTATTAAGCTCTAGGTACTCCAGCCCCAATATTTTGTCATAAAACTCAGCAAACAAAAATATGATAATTAAAGAAAAAATGTCTCAGAGTGGACATTATTATAAGCGCAAGAAAATTATTAAAGAGGTAATCAATTTCGTAGCACTAGAACTTTTTTTTTCTTAGCATTAGAACTACATCAATAGAAGTTCAGAAGTTAGGCATGAAATCATGATGATAAAATTTAGAGAACAAAACCTATTTTTGTTCAAGTAAATTAGCAAAAACTTTTCATTCATTTGTCATGCTCTAGGCATCAAACACTAAAACATGATAGAAAAAACCAATCTTAAAATAGATAGCTCGACTTCCATGTGCAATAAGTGATAACTTCGTACTCAAATTGGTAAAACTTTAAATTATGCTATGATAATAAAGATGGTTAGAGATATAAAAACTATCAAAGCCATCTGTTGTATAAAACACCAGTACAGATCCAAGAATTAATACATAGCTTCTGGCGTGCAAATTAGCTTACATGGAACATTGCAGTTCAAAATAATGTAAATAACATTTAAAAGAAAGATTCTTTGCCAACATAAATTGATGATATGTAAAGAGACTTATAGAAAAAATAATAATATAAATTGTGAATTTCCTAGATATATAGCATATTCAATAAAAGCACGTACTTTCACCATCTCTAAACACCTGGGCAAAACACACATCCCCAGCCTTTCTCATATGATCCTGATACAAAAAAAATAGTGATTTAAGTTCATGATTTAGGGAAAGGATAAAATTAATGCAGTTCGAGAAAAAATGTTCAAACCTTCAAATCTTGCCATGAAGCTGAAGAAGGTAATCCTCGGACCGCAACTAAAAAGATAAAAGTAGCGAGCATGAACAAAAATCTTGAAAATAGAGAACAACAAAGATACAAAGATACCAAATCAATCATGTTAAAATAAACTAAACCACCAAACAGCAAACCTCGGAATTCAGATCTGTGTGAGACCCCAAATTTGCCTGATCCTCCACCACCTCCACCACCATAGCGACTGCTTCGACTACTCGAAGATGAGTACCCTCTACCACCATGGGCAAGCTCAACCTAAGAATTATAAAATAAATGTGGAAGAATAATTCTAAATAATATAAATATATACAGGCATATGTCATAAGCTTAATGGCCAACAAAGATATAGGATTACCTTCAAATGTGAACCACCAAAATTATGTCCATCACGTCCCCTGATTGCATCCTCAGCATCCCGTGAACTTTCAAACTAGAAATGAACCATGTTGAAATATTAAGGAAAAAAAGTTAAAAGTAAAAAAATCCAGCAAATAACAGTTGAAAGGATCATACCTCCACAAAACAATAACCAGGTGGTCGAGGCGGATTCTTTAACTCAATTTTCACCACGCGGCCATACTGCAGCAATTACAATCAATAGTAAGATAACATTCAAAATTAATAGAAAACAATCCAACATTTAGTTCACAATAACACTAAATGTGTGAAGCTTTGGACTTGAACTTTTAAGTGTTATCGCATCAAAGACTAACATTGGCAAAATTTAACAATTTCAAAGGCAATGAAAAAAAATTAAATGTCATACCAACTTATTATCATTAATGGTGGATATTATTTAAGCATCAAAGAACAAATTTCTATTCGTGTATTTAACCATTACTGGTGGTTAACAATATTATAAGATCATTGTTAACATAATGTGCCAATTTGTCTACTTCAAATGCATTGCATGCCACATCAAAACTCCACTTTTCAACAGTTCAAATATGAAATTTCTCTAAGCATGCAAAAAAATAAGCCCCTTCACAATTCTCTTTCCTCAATTAATGAAGGCCCTGTTCCAAATCCAACATAACAATTTTTTAATATACCACTTGGGTTGCCAATAACTGACTAGTCTGTACTCAAAAAAGAGAAGGTAGTCATACAAATCTTCAAAAACATATCATCATTAGAATAACCAACAAGCAATAATTAATATCCACAATCCTATGACAATGAAATATTGCAACACCATCCATAACAATGTATTATTATTTGTTTGCAAACAATTTTAAATGAAATTAGTGCCCCCTCTCCTGTAGAAAGGGATATTTCTACAGGATTAACAATATTCCATAAATGTGTGTGTGCGTTGGGAGGGGGGGGGGACCTATTAAACATGAAAAGTCAGATGAAGTAATGAACTAGCTTAGCCCGACGCTTAAACAGGAAGACAATGGAAGCAGTTCACTCCTGCATTTAGCATGATTAGCTATAAATAAATAAAATAAAATATAGGGGAATATACGTGCTAACCAATGAGAAGCAACTTCCCAGTTTATACAATATTATAAATTTATTGCCATCATACTAGAATACACAAAACTTCTTGTGCATATTAACTCTTGAAATGCTAGAAATTAAACAGCATGATTAAGAATATGAGTTGCAAAACTGATAAATTTTAACTTCACCATGAATATGAATGCAAGATCCCCAAGTACAAAACAACAGAAAGAACTATAAATTAAATTTTAGTTGATAAGGTGCCAAAAGAGAAATAGGATTTTATAACCTTGTGAAACAAATCTTCAATTTCCCATTCACGGATATCCAAAGGAAGGTTGCCAACATATATAGTACGGCCTGCACGGCCACTCATCTCTGAATATGTATGTTTTATAACCTGTCAAAAAGAACAAGCTCTTGAAAATGATAACCACCTCTATATCTATTAGTAGATGATCATGTACTAGGATATTATAAGGTTTCATAATGTTATAAGCAAGCTTTGTTGCAGGAAACCAAAAGTCAAATCTATGAGGCAAACCAATAGAACAATCCTTGGTGTGCTCAGTGCTCCACAAGCTCCAATGGTGCATTTTCTCCAAAAAGCTCCATACATGTAAAAAAACTGACATAAATATTGACCCTTTCATTGCCTATGATTCAAGAGTAGAGCTCCAATCCTCTTTGTATTTAAGTATCAGCTCTACCAAATCATTTATAACTCCACACAGATTTCTCACCCTCCTCTAAAGCCCTAGGACCAGCTGCAAAGCTCCTATGTATCCCATCAGCATTTATCTATCATGAAGAAAGCATCCGTTACAGGATCAGTGATCTTGCCAAAACGTGCATGAACACACCTTAAAGAGGTTTCCAAGCAAAATTTCATGGAAACAGAGTGTGAAGTACAAAATTAAAATCTAAAAACTACCACAAATATTTTGGTTGTTTGGAAAGATGAAAGCATGACCTTCAAAAAGGATAGCATACGCAAACTAGTAAATAATTAAGGATTGCCCGCAAAAAAAATTCACAGATACAAACAAAATGAACAATAGAAAGAATCATAAAATTGGAAGAAATGCTAGATAAACTCAGTATGAAACACAACAAGAAAAATGACAAGAAAAAATAGGTGTAATGTGAACACATAGGCCAAACATGACAAGTTAAAGAATATTAGACGCATTTGCACTCAAAGCATCTTTAAGTGCTTCCATTTCCACAACATGCAACAATCAGCAAATGAAAATGCGCATAAGCTAACCACAATCAAGGACCTGTAATGAATAAACATCAAGAAAATACAATAAAATCAATCATTTCAAATGTGCAACCTACTCTATATAATATCTGGCCACTCCAATGTCAGTAAGAAAACAAGCTCTCAAAACATTCAGAAAACAAAAAAATAATCTCTTGCTACTAACGTTCGATTCTCAGTCCGTCACTATCTAAGAGACAAGAGTGACATATTACAATACGGCTTCTTCATTGAACCGTCAACCGTAATGGAGGAATTCCAAGAAGTCTCTACTTACCCCTACTCTCCTTTATATCTCCTAAAATAAACCCCTTAATCATTGCAACTGTTTAAGGAACCAGATCCTCTCTGAAATACAAAACACGAATGTGAAAAAATGCAATCATCATAAACCTTGGCCCGTTCCATCAAATTGTACTAGATAAAACCTCAACCAAAGAAGCCATTAACAATCACGTAAAAGACCATCTTCTTTGCAAGACGGAAGAACCTTACCATCTAATAGAGATTTGATTACCCCTGTTCCGCGGAGAAAACCAAGAGGAAATAACGGTGACTTCAAAAGAGCAAAAGCAGATTAAAAGGAAGGATATCTCTACCGTAAGGAAAAAAGATCGGCGAACTTGCTGCTCGCCTTGTGCGCGCCGACGTTAGGAACTAGGGTTTCAGCGCTCCTAGGTCCGACGTCGAGATTCGACTGCTTCAAGCCAACCGTGGAGATGCAAATGACCTTTCGAGGTTTCGGATATTTATAGACGTCTCAAGGTAAGTTAGACCGAGCTCTAGATTCAGAATGTGAGCCCATTGGGCTGACAAAAGACCGCTAAGGATTTCCCCAACACAACACATTCCACGTTTTTATATAGTCTTATGTATCCGACTAAAAAGCGAAAAAAAAAAAAAAGGGTAAGAAAGTAAATAAGTTTGTTGAAATTATTTAAAATAGTTTTATTTCACATGTACGAATAAAAATTTAAAAATAAAAAATTGATATTTTGAATATTTATTAACATTATCATTCTAAATTAAATTTATTAAATAATTATAATTATTAATTATTTTAATTAAGAATTAGAGAATTAGATTTTTTCTGTTAAAATCATAGTAACAAAAATATATAAATATAATTTTACAGAGGAGAGATACAATCAAAACGCGAGCTCAGAAATCAGTCAAGGCTTCCAGCGTCCGAGACGTCCAGCACGGACCATCCAGTAGTTGTAGAATGAACCCCTCCCGAAAACCACACCTACGGTTGCCACCAGCAAAAAAACGACCGGGACGCGAGCCCCGACCACATCATTGCCCAAATCCTCTCATAGCATCCAAACGAACAGCAAAACCAAACGAAAACCGAAGCCAAACAGCGAAACAACAACAAACGCCTCGCAAAATCACCTTTTACGTCTACCTCTCATCCAAAATTTTCCTCTATTAGCAACATTGGCAGAGCGAACAAGGGAAAAATCAAAATCAAAATCATCACAATCAGATTGCGCTTCATTATCTGACGAATCAATCAACCAATCTTTATTAACATTATCATTCTAAATTAAATTTATTAAATAATTATAATTATTAATTATTTTAATTAAGAATTAGAGAATTAGATTTTTTTGTTAAAATCATAGTAACAAAAATATATAAATATAATTTTCCAATTCAATATTGAAAAATACATTATTTTCTCTATAGAACTGTTAATATAATAAAATCAATCATTTAATATTTATAAAAAAACACAATTTTTTATTATAAGTATGATATTATAACATTATATTGATATATTAAATTAAAGTTATAAAAAAAGGAATTTTATCTTAAAAGTGTACATGCACTAAGTGCACGTTAAAATATTTTCTTAATTTAGCACAAAAATAATAAAAGTGCACAATCACTAAGTCCACATTTTTATGACTGTACAATATAATCAAGCATGATAATAATTTAAAATTAATGACTATATAAAATAATCATATTTATAATATATGGCATTTGAAAATAATGGAATTCAAATTATAATTAACAACTGTATGAAACAAAAATTTCTAAAATTTGTGAGAAAGAAATAATCTTTG